CGATGTAAATTTGGTAATTTTTATGTTAGTTTTGGTGTTTTGAGAGTGCAACTAAGTTTGAATGATCATATGTGACGTGTTAGTATGTTCGTATGCGTCCCCGAGGAGCTCGGTGAGTTTCGGATAGGTTTGGGCTGCGTTGTGCTCGTTTTTCTTATGCTTCGACGTCGTTTCTTCAAGCATAAATGATATCATATTGAACAAATGAGCTCCGATTACTGTTTTGAATGAATCATTAGATCCGTATCATAATTACGGACCCGTAGCAAAAAGAATCATCAAATTTGGACATCGTATGAGGATTTTATGGCCATTTTACCAAGGTTGCCCAGATTTTTAGGTTAATGACGAAATTGCCCCTGACGGCGTATTAAAAACCTGCACTATTTGCAAATCTTAAAACCTACATATATCCTTCATTATAAGGTCAAATTGAGTGATTCAAAAGCCTAAATTCATTAGAATTTTACAAGGAATCCATTGGAGCAGTAAAACGCGTGAACAATATACCTATAATGAGCAGGTCGAGTTTTCTTCCAATTTTTGAACGGAAAGAAGCTTCTGAGACGATTTTTAAGAGAGAAAATCAGTGGGTATCACAGAGGTAAGTGATTTGATGATTAAAATCGTTTATGGGCGATTATAGACCATAATCCCAGCCTTTAATTCATGAAAAATAGTAGAAAAATAGGATTTTGGGGCCTGAGATTATGAGACCTTTAGGGGTCGATTTGAGGGGTCAAACGGATTCCGATTTTGGTGTTCTTTATATTTATGGAATCGAGAGAAGATGAAGAACACTTTTCTGTAAAAAATTCTGAGTTTCGAGAAGTGGGACCGGGGCTCGGGTTTTTTCAATTTTGGGATTATTGATGTTTTTCGATTATTTTCGATTGGTATTGATGCTATAGCATAATGTGACGTATTCGTTGTGGTTTTGGTCAGATTCGACGCGCGAGGAGGTCGATTTGAGAGGCAAGGGCATAGCGAGCTAGGATTTTGGCCGGCTTGAGGTTAGTAATAGATGTAAATGCTGTGTTGATGGTTTGAAACCCGAATTTGCACATTGTAGTGCTATGTTGAGGTGACTTGCACGCCGGATAACGGGTGTGGGGTAGAGCACCGTCGGGGATCGTGACTTGGTCCGTCCCGCTTAATAAAATTACTAGCTAATTGATTGAAGCTTAGTGAGATCCTTATAAAAATGATTAATTGTCATAATTTGGCCTCGTGCCAACTGATTAAATCCTTTAGGGATTGTTTTTACTGGTTTCTTACCATATTTCAGAAAATTGAACTCAGTCCTAGTATTTAGTACTGTTTTGCAAACTCAGCCACTTTTTCTTAAAACTAGAAACTTAAATAATATTTCTAATGAAGTTTGGGCTGAATATTTTTATATTATTGTGCCCGAGGGGCTTATATGATTCTGGACTGAGTATGGGATCGGGCTGCGCGCCGCAACAGTATTATATTGATATTGATATGAGGGTTAGGGCCTAATGGATGCCACGAGATGGCTTGATATGGGGCTTGGGGCGTAAGGGGCCCCTCCCGGAGTCTGCACACCCCCAGTGAGCGCCGTCGACGATAAGTAAATGGAGCGGGCTGCATGCCGCAGCGGGTACTAGAGAGTACCGTACTATTTGTTGCATGTCTTAATTGATTGTCATTCATTTACTTATCTATTGCAGCATCATTGTTTTTATTGGTTTATTGAGTTGACATTATCTGGATTAAACTGCTGTAATTATAGCTTACATTGTGCCTATCCAGGATTTCTTACTCTCAACTCTTATTTATGTTTATTACTCTCTGGGTTGGAAGTACTCACATTACTCCCTGCACCTTGTGTGCAGATCTATGTGCACCCACTGAGGCTGAGTGAGGATTTCTCTGCCGAGCATCATATCTGGGAGCATCAAGGTAGCTGCATGACGTCCGCAGTCCTGATCTTCCCATCTAACCTATTTGCTTTATTTCCGCATTTCTTTAGAGCAATATGTAGTAGGTTGACACCCGTGTATTAGAGGCTCAGACTTGTGACACCGGATTCTTCGGGCTGTGTAGTAGTATTTCTACTTGGGTTTTCCGCATGTTTTAATTATATTTCAGAGTTTCAGTATTATGACTTAGTAATTATTTGTGTTAATTGAATCATGAACTGTATAAAAAGGGTTAAGGTTATTGAATTGGTCGGGCTTGCCTAGCAGTGTGTTGGGCGCCATCACGACCGGGGTTGGGGTCGTGACACCCAGTTACAAAGACAAAAACTTCAGCTCTAGAGCTAAAGTTTTCCAGTTACAAAACAAAAACTTCAGCTCTAGAGCTGAAGTTCGCGAGTTACAAAACAAAAACTTCAGCTCTAGAGCTGAAGTTCGCCAGTTACAAAACAAAGCTGAACTTCAGGCCCGGCTACTAGAATGCTGAAGTTTTGCGTGATTGTCTTTGCTACTTCAGACCTGTATGCTGAAGTTATGCGAAAAAGCGGGTACGCTTGTAATTTTTTTTGCAAAGCGGACACAAGTTAAAACGTGACACAAAAAGCGGGTATAGATGCAAGTGCCCCATTTAAAACTTATACACAACCTATTAAGTGTAACAAAAGATGGGGCCTTAAAAATATGGGGCCTAAAACTTTTACTTTACTTGCTTTATGAAAAGGCCGCCCTTAGTTCATGGTGTCTATTTACTCAATGACAATCCATATCACCAACTTCTAGAAAATTTGTAATTCAAAAGAAAGATGTAATATCCTTATCTTATTCTAATTATTTATTTATTGATTCTTTTAAAGTACCTCTTGGAAAATTAATGCGCACCTACCATAAGGATATACGGATGAATCAACTACATGTTGGGTTGTTGAGATAGAATCCGAAAGCCCAAGTTTTCCCACATCTATGACATGATTGCATGCATACTGAGTATTGATAATCAATATTCTATTTCTTTAAACTGTGTATCCTGACCTTTCATACAAGTATCAATTATAATTATTGCTCAGATTTAGATCTCGGACTTCGCTAATCAGGAACAGATTAAAAATAAAAGAATATTACTAATACGGGTGGCAGACTAAAAATAATAAGATAGTAGTAGTAATTAACCGAAGAGGGTATCACCTAAAGTGGGATAAAGGGAATATTATTAGTATGGATTGGCTGTTTGTAGGGGGTGTTCATAAAAACCCGAAAAACCGAACCAAACCGAAAACCAAACCAAACCGACCAAAAAACCCGATACTTTTTGGTTTGGTTTGGTTTTGGTTTTGAATTTTAAAAACCGATCAAATTTGGTTTGGTTTTGGTTTTAATCAGAAAAAAACCGAACCAAACCGACTATAGGAGTAGCTATTTCAAATTCATTATTACACCTATATATATGTATATTTTTATATAAAGTTTCAAAAATTTAATGGTAAATGTTAATAGTTTGCACTTTTAGTATAGTTCTTTACCTTTACATTCTAGTTTGATTGGTAGTTTTCTTTTGTTAAGTGTAAGAATCCATTTCGTGTTAAAAATAATATATTTTTAATTGAGTCCTTAAATTATTCATCACTATTTGATTCAATTATCATCAATATATCTTGGTAAATAATAGATTTCTCAAAGGGCAATTGATTTGATAGTGTTACGTTGAAAATGTGGTCTCCGGAATATGTGTTTGGTAGTGTATGTCTTATATTTAAGAAAAAACCGACAAATAACCGAAAAAACCGAAAAACCGACATAAACCGAATCGAGAAAAAATCGACTTAATTGACTTGGTTTGGTTCTAACATTTGAAAAACCGACTTACTTGATTTGGTTTTTTTTTTTTAGAGAAAAAACGATCCAAACCGAACCATGAACACCCTGGCTGTTTGGGCAACAAAGGGAAAGTGTGCGTAAGATTCATGATTATGGTGTGATTAGAAGCTACCCAATCCCAATTCCCCATAATGCCAACTCAGATATATATTTCCATTAACAATCATTCTCCCAATGGGTGAACCGATTGCTTGAACCGGTAAAAAAGGTAAACCGTGTTTGGAAATGCGTCAATATACAGAGTTAGTTGTATATGACTACTCTGTGTTTGTGTGTATATATTTGGGGATAATCCTTGTGGGTGTTTTTGCCAACGCTCTTCTAAGCTAACACCCTGACGACACTCCCTACCTACGGTCAAACCACGAATTCTCCTAAACTTGACTCAAACTCCTTCTACTCACTCTTTTCACTTTTATTAGATCTCCGATTCCAAAGGTGAATTCATGTTCTCTTTCTTAATTTCCGCATTGTTTCTTATCTTCGCGTGGATCTTGATCCCATTTTTCTTCGTTAGCTTTGTTTGTTTTCCTTAATTATGGAGATTTGATAATGCGCTTGCATTTTTGCTGTCCATTTTGATTTCTTTGGGTTCAATTTTGTTTATTTGGGAGAATTTACATTTCTTCCGGTGCCTAATCGATGACTTATGTATAGGCTATGTAAATAATTATGTACATAATGTGCTCTGGATCTGATGCTGTTAGGCTTTTCTTTTCTTGTCGTCTTTGCTTTTTTTCCTTTCTTACGGTGCTTTTGAGTTGCAAATTTTTGCGTAGGATTTCGTATTTTAAGTTTTATTTAACTAGTGCTAGAAGCTAGGGTGTGTATGTAATCCATTTTGTCGTTTAGACACCTCTTGGAATTCCGTGTCATCTTCTGCAGCTATGAATTTGCTTTTACGCCCGACTTTCCGGGTTACATCTTTGTTTCTTTCTTTAGAAATACAGCTGGAATGAGGTTTTTGGCTACTTGTTCTAGGTTCCTTTCCCCTTCCAAATGTCTCCGCTTACCTATGTGTTCGAGTCAAAATCAATTATTTGTTCTTATTTAGTGAACTTTTTAATGCATATGCAGAGTTTGAGTCAAAGCTATTGGATTCCCAGAAGTAATCCTCCACATCTGCCCCTATATGCAGATATTAAATAAAGCTACTATAATTTCCTTTTGGTCCGGTAACCTTTTTTTTTTTACCTGTTACATATTTTGACTTGTTAAAATCCTAGACGTGGCTCAAGCATCAGCAAAAGTATATGTGACAGGGAAATGTACATTTGATGCTTCACTGCAAAGCTAGAATAAATTTGAATTCCTTGTTTCTATAAGATAATTGAAGAGATAAAGTGACGTAGAAGGAAACTAACACGTATGAAATGTGAATGGAAACGCATTATGTTTCAACTTTTCCTTCGTTATTTTAACCTGTAATCATGCCTAAATGTGTGAGAAAAGTCTAACTTTCCTGTCCTTTTTTAAGGAGATGGAGAGAAATAGCATTCGTTTATGTAACTCCGTTTAAACCGCCCTTATCCAATCTACTGATACCACATTATTTACCAAAAGAAATGAAAAATTGAATGGAATTTCCACCCCTATTAAATGATCCAGCCTGGGAAGTAGCTGGAATTTTTGTTTTCTTTCCCGCAAAATAGCTTTGACTGACTTTTCTGAACCACTTTATGACTTCAGTTAATCTCAAGATTCACGTATAAATTTGGCAGTTTGCTACAACCCTTCCTGCAACATCTGCTAGTCTCTTTTTTAATCCACTTTCATGAATTGGTAAATCCTTTACTTCAAGTTGAACACTATATGAATGACTATCTTTATTCGCTACCTGTCATGGACAACCGACTGAACATATAGGTGAGGGTGATAGTGAGCTTTCATCATTGCTTCTTCTGTACGGTTGTAAATACAAGGTTCCATAGTTCTGCACGCATCTTCCTTTTGGCTGGATAAATTTGGAGAGGAGAGAGCCCATTTTTAAATGCAGTATATGTTTTCTTCTCTTACGTCTTCTGATCAACTGTGCTGAAATTCTGCCTGATTCTTAGCAGGAGCGTCGAAAAATCGGGATGAAGGCACTTATTCTTGTCGGAGGGTTTGGTACTCGGCTGAGGCCATTGACTCTTAGTGTCCCAAAGCCATTGGTTGAATTTGCCAACAAGCCCATGATTTTGCATCAGGTAACCTTTAGGAGAACTCTTGGTTAGCCTCGTGTATTTTCAGTCATATGGTAGATTATGTCATAAAGATCACTCTAACTGCACACCTACTCAAAGAAATATGCCTTTTAGTCGGATTGCTAATCTTGTTTTTTATCCTTTTAATTGGTTATGTGGATTTTGAGAACGTCATTTCACTATTCCAGTTTGTACTTTATCATATAAAAGAATTCGGAATATCTTATTTTCCACCCGGTAAATTCAAACTATATTTGTCTATATGACTCCAATATTTTCTTCCCGCATACAAAATTTCAAATGACCTAAGCTCTGGAATATCTAGGGCTTCATCACCCTGCCTCTGCCAGGTCATGATCTCTAAAAGAGAATGAGAAATCTCAATAGGAGTTTAATTGTGCCTTGCACTTTCTGTATGTTCTCCTTTTCTTTCTATTTTTGCTATTATATCAAAACACCGATTTTCCTAAACATTTTGTACGTCAGATCGAGGCTCTCAAGGCTGTTGGAGTGACTGAAGTGGTCTTGGCTATTAACTACCAGCCCGAGGTCAGCATCTTTCCATTTAGAGATCTAAGTAAGGCTAAATCTTTAATGAGCAACTAATAGAATATACAAACTCCTTTCGATGCAGGTGATGCTTAACTTCTTGAAAGAATTTGAGACAAAACTTGGGATAAAGATCACATGTTCTCAAGAAACTGAACCACTTGGGACTGCAGGTCCCCTTGCTTTGGCTAGAGACAAGCTGGTAGATGATTCTGGTGAGCCGTTTTTTGTTCTTAACAGTGATGTTATCAGTGACTATCCTTTCAAGGAGATGATTGAATTCCACATATCCCATGGAGGTGAGGCTTCTTTACTGGTGACTAAGGTAAGTTATCAGTTACATTTCTGTTTGAATTTAACATAGCGTGGGTCTTCCTAGATTTATGAGGGGGATGTTGAGTATAAAAGGTAAATTTCACTGGTTGATACAGGTGGATGAGCCTTCGAAATATGGTGTTGTTGTCACGGAAGAATCCACTGGCCAAGTTGAGAGATTTGTGGAAAAGCCTAAGTTATTTGTTGGCAACAAGATCAATGCTGGAATTTACCTGCTGGATCCTTCCATTCTTGACAGAATTCAATTAAGACCAACATCTATCGAGAAAGAGATTTTCCCAAAAATTGCAGCGGAGAAAAAGCTATATGCAATGGTCCTACCTGGGTTTTGGATGGACATTGGACAGCCAAGGGACTACATCACAGGCCTTAGACTCTACCTAGATTCCTTAAAGAAGAGATCTTCACCGAAACTGGCATCAGGTTCTCACATTGTTGGAAATGTCTTAGTGGATGAAACTGCAACAATTGGAGAAGGATGCTTGATTGGACCAGATGTTGCGATAGGCCCTGGTTGCGTGATTGAGTCTGGGGTTAGACTCTCACGTTGCACTGTGATGCGTGGAGTCCGTGTTAAGAAACACGCGTGCATCTCAAGTAGCATTATTGGTTGGCACTCAACTGTTGGACAATGGGCTCGTGTCGAGAACATGACCATTCTCGGAGAAGATGTCCATGTTTGTGATGAAATTTACAGCAATGGTGGAGTAGTCTTACCCCACAAGGAGATCAAATCTAGCATCCTGAAACCGGAAATAGTGATGTGAGAGTAATTTCTAGTGCTAGAAAACAATAAGTTATATGTTCAGTTTGTTCAAAATGTATTTTCCTTTTCCTTTATTTGGTTTTGTATTTCTTCCTCTTCAATTGTAAAAGTACGGGAAAGTTGAGTGATGTAAGGTGATGTGCTGAAGGGTTGCTGTTGTGAAAGGTATGAGATGTTGGAAGGTCTGTTTATTTTGTAATTTTCGGTGTATATACAAATAAAGAACTCTACTGGATGTTGTGTTTAATTCGTTTGATTAATCATGTATAAATTAGTAGCTCCAATTTCTTTTGAACTTCTCTGGTTAATTTCTCTGTAGCTTAAAATGGGGTATTTCGTCGCCCTTCCTCTTCAGCAAGGCAATGGTTTACTAAATGATGAATGATTGCATCTGTATGGTAAACAGTGTACTTGGTTGAACAGACTCATGTATGTTACTTTATCTCTAGTGTCCATGTGATCTCTGGATAAGAAAATGTGGAGAAATGCAAAATTAAAAAGAAAAGAGGGGTGGGGTGGGGTGGGGGGGGGGGGGGAATTGACAGCTCATATATGATGTTTAACCTACTGCAAAAGAAAAAGACAATGAAAATTTATACGAAGCCTACGTAGATTGGTATCCTTTCAATTTTAGAATCTACAACAATGGGGACCCAAGATATTGGTGGGACTTATTTCCTTCAACTAAGAAACAATAAGTTTTTATCATGTGGTTGCTACTTGCTCGTACCACATCACTCTTTCGTCTATTGATACTCCAAACATTCATTAAATATGAACTTTTCGTGATTGGACCTCTTTTCCTTTTTTTTTTTTTGAAGATAATGGTTGTCTGTATTAATCTTAAACCATAATACTGGATCCAGATATTGAAGTCATTAGAGACTAAATACCACTAATAAAAGAATCTTTACACAAATAGCCGTCAGATTCGCAGCTTACTTTTCCTAGCTGGTATGCGTAGATTATACAATGATTATATATGTTTTATACACACATTATACATAGATTATACATATATTAAATATCCGTCGGCTATTTTTAGTTTAAGCGGTTTGATGGGTGGTTATTTAGGTTAATTCTGGTTTTTTTAATTAGCTATTGTGGACCTTGTCTTGAAGCGAACCTTGTTTCAAACACTGGATCCAGTCGGAGTCAGCAGCAGATTCTTGGGCGCATGACCCATAAATTCTCGAGGAAAAGATGGATTACTAATATAATAACCAAGTTTTCCTGTAAAGTGATAGAAAAGCCTTTATAAAGAATTATAATGCTTTGGGCAAGCGACAAAATAACTTGACCCAACCATGTTGTATGTGAGCTAATTTTTCAGAGATTGAAAAGGAGATTAGGTTTAAAAACTCGCAATTTGTCACCATTACCGAAGCTTCTTGACCAAAAAGACAATCAACTGACGTACGGATGGAATTGTGAATAAGATAGGCCAAGATCCCAAATTTTGTTACAACTATAAAGAGCTCGAGAAAGTTGAGTCCAACCATAATTCACTGTCTTTAATCAATTAAAATTCGGAAAAGGATATGATCTATCCCTCTACTATCATTAATAGTTTAAATAAGCCGTCCGTTATATTATTAAAGCATTAAAGCCCCTGCCGTCTTACTATGAAACACAAATACCTTTATTTTCATAGATTGGCCACGTGGCAACACTAAATTCATCCGGTTAGTTTTAATATAGATCCGATCCAAATCCATTACCCGACCCTAAAATATTAGACCCTTCACCCTTATTAACGTGTGAACACTAATTTGATCACTTATTTTTGGTTCCAGCAATAGAGGCGCTCTGTCACTCCCTCTCTTCCACGACTGAAATGCTATAACTTCTCATTATATTTCTTTGTAGTAGTCTTATAAAGTTGGTTCAATGTCTAGTTCTAGTGTTACATCGAGAAGTAGGTGCTATTGTGGGGAGATCGCGAACAACTTTACTTCGACGACCACAAACAACCCCGGAAGGAGATTTTATAAGTGTGCTAAACCTGAAGTAAGTTTGAATTATGCTTGTGATTCATTACACGTCGATGCATTTAAAATTTTATTTTTTCTGTTCTTTAACATAATTATTGATTGTATTTGTAAAAACGAGTCATGTGGATATCGAGAATGGCAAGAGGAAGCCCTCCCGAACAAAGCGTTGATAGTAATCAACGGTTTCAAGTCTAAATTAGATGTTGCCAATGTCAAAATTAAGACGTTGAATATATTGTTGGATGCGTGCAAGCTTGAAAGGGACAAATTGATGGAAAAAGTTGATGTTTTGGAGGCTATAAATGATGTTGAAGTGAATAAACCAAGGGAGATGGAAGTGAAAATGATGCAGATGAAGATGTTCATTATGGTTTCATTTGCACTGTTAGTCGGATTCGCTGTGACATTGTTGATGAAATAATTTTTTGCATTTTGTGTAGTGCAGTAGGGTTTTGATGAAGTTAATTGTTGTACAGTCCATATTTTCATGAATGTTTTGTGTTTGTCAGCTTGGTTGTAATACCTTATATGGCATGTTAATGTCAATTTTCACAGAATATGACAAAAATTTTATCACCATGGTTGTAATACCTTTCATTTTCGAATTTATTATGTTGGTCAGCTTGGTTGTAATCACTAATTGTAGTTCTTTATATGGCATGTTAATGCCCAGTTTAACAGAATAATGTGGATTTTAATAGAAAAACTGGATAGTTATGGCTCTAATGCAGTAATGCAGTTATGACTCTAATGCATTAAAAAAACTGAGCAATTCACTAACAGTCAAAAAACTGAGCATCCACTCTAATGCAGTAAATTCATTCTATGATGCAGCAATTACAGAACTTGAAGTTCTGAATATAGAACAACTTTAGAACAGAATAATGACTCTAATGCAGAAAAAAGTTGGGCAGTTAGACAATTGGGCAGTGATTTCACTAACATTAACCGTACTGTCAATGCAGTAATTACATATCAAAAAAATAGTAAAGATAATAGGTCAAACTGATGATTGGATGTCATACCATAATCCCAATAACACAACCTAAATCATACTATGACATCCAATTCAGTTACCAGTACCAATATTAACAGAACATTAAATAGGAGACTGTCATTAAGTTTGCATTAATTACATCCTAACATATTACAAAAGTACATAGAACAGCTTGATCATTTTTTTTTTCTTATCTTCAGCTTTCCAATCTTTTGTTGCCTTTGTTTTTCTAAATGATGATTTGAAATTGTAGCTGCTTTACTCTTCCACATTAGGCCTGCTGGTGAAAATGAAAGATTTATGGGCTCAACACCAGTGTGATCACCAGTAAAGTTGATTAACCTTGTCCCAGATGGTAAGTTTAACCTGCTGTCACAGTTTAAGTCTTGTCTTGACTTCTGATATCACTATTGACCTAACTACAGCATCTTCTTCATGTTTCATCTCTAGAAAATTTGGTACCATACTTGATTGGCCAACTCTAGGTGTAGGCATTGAGTTATTTGTGGTGCTGAAGAGTGTATTTCATTTTCTGTTTCAGAATCTAACAAAGTTTTTGTCCTTTTCAAATGTTGTTTTTCCTTGCTTAGCTGCTTTCTCTTTGGTTGCTTCTAAAAAATAAAGTTAGAAAATATAAATAAGTACAAGTTCAGCAAATGTGCAAATTGTAGATTACCTAAGCACAAGTTCTTGCATTATGGTTTGGTTGTTCACATTTGCTACTAGCCAATAACTATACATACCTTTTCTGGACTGTGATCACACTCCTTGTCTTTTAACTGCCTCATCCTTCTGCCTATCCCTCTTAACTTTAGGCCTGCCAGCCAACTTCACCAACTCTGGGGGCTCCATTGCTTGTGATGGGTCAAATTTCCAAAAAATTTCTCCTGTAATAGGTTGGAGCTTGTGCCTATAAGTAAGTAGAAATGCCTTCTAACTGTACCACCAGTGCATCTCTGTCAAAGGGCCACCCTTGTTGTGAAGTATAGCTCTCATAGTATGAGGACATGGGATTCTTGTAAGGTCTCATGCTCTGCAGGTGCACTTCTTCATGCTTAAGTTGACACAATGCTTGTCAGACCCTTCACTAACTTCATATCCTCCTTCTCTTTTGGAATTAATTTTACACACTTGAGCAATCTCCATGAATTTATTGTAGAGTTCTAGGCTCTTTGGGCTGAACTCATTGCTCCATGTCTAGCTTCAGCTTCATGTTTTGTCATCATGTTCATAACTTTGAGTCTAATATCTTTCAACATCGTAATGATTGGATTTTGCCTTACTTCCAAAATCCATGAATTGAAGGATTTAGTCAGATTGTTATCAACTGACTGATTCTTGCAAACTGTATCCAGATAAGCTCTGCATCAAGACTGTGGTGAGTACTTCAATAAACTCTCTGTTGCATCCTTGTTCAACTCTCCTAGCTTGCTTAGTTGGTCTTTGAAGTCTTCTTCATAATTGCACCATGAACACCACCAAAGCAGTTTTTTGCTTTCCCCAGTATTTTATGTCTTGCACTAGTTAGCCTCGATATGTCTAACACAAAACCTATGATGTGTTTGTGGTAGAATAGTTTTAATTGCCTCGATTAATCCCTATAACAAATTTTCAAAATATACATGCAGTTAGAAATTGACAGAAACAAAAATTGGGCAGCAATATGTATAGACAAAAGTAGAAAATTATACAGCAATAGATGACAGAAAACTAGACAGCAATAGAAGTAGAAAAGAGAATCAAAATGACAATAGAAACATTATTGAAGTCTGGACAACAATAGAAATAGTAAAAAAAAGAGATGGACAGAAGTAGATGACAACAGAAATATTACTAAAAACTGGACAACATAGAAATAACAAAAAAGAAAGAGAAAATAGAAGTAGATGACAGCAAAAAAAAATTCAGAAATATTACCTTTTGCATATCTGACATGAAGGTAATTCCTTCTCCTTCCTTAAGGTCTAGAGATCCCTGAAGCAACTAGAGGAACCAGTTCCAAGAATGCTTTGTCTCCTTATCAACAACTGCTCATGTCAAAGGATAAAAATGGTTTTGTGCATCCTGTCCAACAACAACTAGCAATTGACCCTTGCCTTTCCCTTTTAAAAAGGTGCCATCTACACCAATAAATGGTCTTAACCCTAACTTGAAATTCATCTTCATAGCTTGGAAACAAACATACATCCTTAAGAATCTTTTTTTCCCATTTTCAAGTGCATTTTTTGAAATGTTGATCACTACATCACTTCCTGGATTACTCTCCCTCAATTCAGTGGCATAAGCATCAATTTTGTTGTACTC